CTCTTGACAGCCTCCTAGCCAGCACGGCATTGTGGGTGTTAGGTCCTCTGATGAGTACGAAGATAGCCCGCCTTATGGCTATAGCGGACACAGACCTCCCCCTATCTCGGTTGAGAAGGACGCCAAGCACATGTCTTACGATCTAGTCAATACTGCTGATTTCCAAAACGACGAATACACTGATCCTTATGCTCGTCATGATCTTGACAACGATACTATTCCGTTAGTCAACGTGAGGCATCGCTCTCGAGGAGAAAGCAATAAGTCGAAACGTTACTCGACAGCGCTTCCATCTACGCCCTTGCCGCACAGTCCGATACCTCCTGGACTCGCAGGGGGGACGGGTTGGCTGGACCGGTTCGAGCCTGCACCTGTGCTGCCATTGCTCGTACATGCTATTCTTTGGTAAGCATTTTATGATTAGGCCCGTGTCTGAGTATTGACGTAGGATTTAGTCTTGCAGCTTTTCCTATCATGTTCTATCTAACTACCGAAGCAAACGGGCTTTCGATGTTTTGGACCAGAGTTATCGTGGGGTGTATATGTGGAGCAGTGGGGCTGACATTAGGCGTTAGTCTGCTAGATCTTTCGAGGCGAGGAATTGAAGCTGCTCGTGAGTTTTGCCAAAATGATTTCTTGCTCAAACTGATTTTGTAGTATGGGCTACTATCATCCACGAGTCCATGGATGGCCCAGCGGGCGGTGTAACTCTCAGTCAACTCGATTATCACACCGCCAATCCGGATAGCCCCTGGGCGGCAATACTGTTGTTATATCGAAGGATATTCAAACATCGAGGTACTGGTCGTTCAAAACGCCGGAATTACGAGTAGGTTCATGCAGCCTGTCATTCAACGCTCTGATTGACTTGGTAATTTCAGCCCCGTACCCTGGTCGGCATGTATCGTGCTTTTCCTCATCACGGTCACCATATCTGCCTGCCTTGTCTTTGTGTTCGGTCGAGTGGTGGATATCTACACAGTTCAACAGGTACGCACAATGCTTGAATTCAACCACTCGAATCGGCTAACCTGCCACTCTATCAGACTCAGAGCAACATTTTCAGCGAGATTTCGGTCATTGGAGACCTTTCTCCTGATGATATCCAACGTGCAGATGCAATGAGTGCTGAATTTTCGGTATGACCTGGTTTGGTTTTCTGCAATTTCGCTTACCTCTCATTTGTTAGAACTATGCATTCGCATGGTCACTCTCACCTTTCTCCGCTTCAGCCCACCTACCAAAAGATCGGTCTTTTTCGATTCCGCGACCAAGTGGCAGTGGGAAAAACGATTCTGTTCATTTCGCTGAGACATATACTCGGCAGCTTGTTCCTGGGGGCACTGGCTTTGGGACGTTCTTCCCTAATCTCACAGCTGTGTGGGCTAATGCAACTACAATTGGCCGCAGCCCGGAGACCGTGGCTTCGGGACAAACCATACGGTGGCCAAGGTGGGGCGAACGAACCGTCTGTCAAACCATTGAAGAAACTGGTAATAGCATCACAATGTGCGTTTTAAACAATTCTGCCTTTGCGTCACTGAGTTGTTATGACAGAGCTCCAGCATCAAATGAGGAGAATAATACCTACATGTATGTCACCAAGGCGGCAGTCCAGGGGTTGCTCAAGAATGCGGAGATAAATCCGGATTTGAGCACACTGCCGGCCGCGGACCTATCCCAAGGAGGCTACCCACTTCCTACTGGCGTTGTGGAAGCTGATATTGCACTCATAGGTACGTTGGCTTGTAGCGGTTGTGTGACGCTTGGTCCTGATATAACTCTAGGCAAATGGGAGGACGACGGCGCGGCACATCAATTTATGTCCTATTCCTTCGATCAGGGTAGTAGCGGCGCCGGCTGGTCCATGATTCAGCTGGTTCTTGTGCGCCTGAACGAGTCGTATGCTCCAAAAGGCCAGTTCCATACATATAGTGATACAACCAACGGCACCCGTATCGGCTACGATGGGGCTATATGCGTGCAAGAAATCCGACCCTACATGCTAGACTCCTATAACAACGTGAGCTTATTCAATGGCATATCAAGGTTAATGATTCCTGACGTCGTACGCAGACCGCAGGTTTGCCGGTCACACTTGGCTATCTGTATAGCGGAGCGAATTTCAATACCACCGGTAAAAAAATGGAAGGCGATTCTCGCGAAGGTATTCAACGCGGAATTAATTCGACTGGGAAGTGGGCGGCCTTTTTCAATGCTCATAACAACTCTCGAAATGTCCTAGCCAAGGACAATGGAAGATATTTTCGTTATGTTCCAAACCCGACGGTGAGTGTTTTAAAATGCTGGCTGTTTGCACATTGTTGGAACTCACTCCAGGTGGTATCATTTACCGGCGGAACCGAGCCAAGCGGCTACACAAAACTCAACTCGTGGGAATTACAGGACGTACTGGGAGATGTAGACTCTCAGCATTTGGTGGGACTGTCACCGGCGGGCAAAGCGTGGACTAACATTTCCTGGTGTAGTTGCCGTACCTGGTCGGGAGTCAGGAAATTGTTGCGCATACATACCCAGATAAGGTGAGACGGAACGGACCAGAGTCTTGATGAGTAGCCGACGAAATGATGTCTCAACAGACTGTCGCGCACGCCAAGGTGTATCTTGTCTGGCTCATAGTGTCACTTGTAGGTAAGACTATGTTGCGTGCAACCAGGACTACATCAATCTGATGTGACCCAGTCGTTCTGCTACTGGGATTCGCGGTAGCAATATTCGTGAGTCCCCACTCCCAGACACATCACTCCTCCTAAATCATGTCAAGGTTCCTCGCCTGCCTCTGGGTCTACCGAGGCGTTCGTTTGGGGTGATATCGTGGCTTGCTGCGATTGAGGGTGTGTAGTATTGCCTCGTAGTGAGCGGTTAGCTGATTAGGCTCGGGTAGGCGATGAGTTGGTGAATCTGCCAATGGGATCGGTTGGTCGTCACGAACGATTGGAAGACCTGCAGCGGAAAGCGAAAAATGTCCCAGTGAGATATGCTGCTCCAGGGGAATAGCCGAGGTGTGCGCTGGATGGGGCTGGGCGGCGCGCGGGCACGTTGCTGATGAAACGGGGAGTCCATTAAGGTGCAAATATACTCGATTGCCTGTAGGTTTAATGTAGTCGTGGGGGTTGGGCCAGCTGTGCTGTATTATGTACGCTTGATATCCAAGGTTATTGTTGGCGCCAAGGCCAGGGTCCTCGTCGATCAGTCCCCGTCGTGCGGCACCGGCGCAACTGAAACTCGTACTTTCCACCACCACCACCGGCTCATCATGGCTCAGATAGAGGCCAAATCTTGGGGGGCGGGATTGTCCGTTCCCGAAGGTCGCTGTGCTGTTAATCTGGACGATAGCGCCCTGCGCATGCTTGAGCCAGCGCAACATCGTCAAAATCTTGCGCAGTCCTCGTTTCACAGTTTCAAGTGTAAGCATCGTCGCGACCGATAAATATTGGCTCAAACTTAGCTCGCGACAGACCACTTCAAACCAGAGTCGATCGACGTGCGTAAACCTGGCAAGGTTCAGCCCGCCAATCCACCGCGTGTGGTTCAGGATGGTGTGGCACTTGACGTAGAGCAACTTGGGTCTAACGTAAGCAACAGGAGTCTTGGTGAACTGTAGCTAAACATCTAGTATTTCTAGAATGATGATAAACATCTTTTTACTGCAATCGAGCAAGGGACCAAGGAGCTCGATGTATTTATGGTGTTTGATCCTACGACTGGTGTACGTCTTTTGATTTTGTTAATGTCGCCAGGCTCGCTAAATTCGACCGCAGTCTTTTACTATGTACGAGGCGGACAGCTATGTCCTGTTGACATATGATCGTGCTGCTTCCAAGGCCGCATCTCGAGCACGTTCGCGTGCATCTCCAGCCTCGCAACCACTCGCAATGCCGGCCACTACCGCTCCACCTCCCAAACCAGCTGCTCTAACACCTGTCACGCTCCCTGTCGCTGCTCCTGCCGAGACTCTAATACCTAGCCCCTCTACCAAACGTGCACCTGTACCGAAAGCGAAAACGAAAACGAGACCAAGGCCTAAACCTGTGCCAGTCAAACTACCAACACCACCCCCGCAGATCATATCTGGCGAAACAGAGGATGGCGAAGTTGAATTTGAGCCGGTAGCAGTGCCAGAGCCGGTTGGATTGGCGATGGATATAGATTCCGAACAAACCCAGAACATTGTCGAGAACTCTGAAACGGCAGATGCAGACGCAGATGGGATATTGCCGTGGGATGCAGTGCCTACCACTACGCACTGGCGGGCTGGGGGCACGACCAGCACGTTCAATGCCACCGACGGCCCCGAGGAGGAGGTATTCCACTTTGGTGGTTCGTTGACCAAAGAGCAGCCCCGGAAAGGACAATCAAAACCCGGACGTGCTGGAGGAATCGTATTTCCCAAGGCTGGGCGAGGCCGGGATCCTCCGCCTCGTGCTCCACCACCCCCACCCCCTGTCCAACACCAAGACCCAGACGACGAAGAGATGGACGACATGGATGAGGTCGTGTTGCCTGGGATGGAGTCTCACACGGGCGATCTGGAGGACGAGATAATGAAGCAGATGCAGGGCGAGAGTAGTGACGAGGACGAAGACGAGGACGGAAGTGAAGATGACGAGGACGATGAAGACGATGGATTTGACGTCCAGGCATTTGAGCAGGCTTTGGCTCAGGGTATGACCGAAGGAGACGAGGGTAAGTGGATGACAGTCGAGGTTTTGAGTGTAAACTAATATCACAACAGTTTCAGACGACGAGGATGGCTCTTCCTCCGAGGAAGACGACTAGTGCAGCTCGTCTTGGATGGCTTTTGTTTATTATATTTTTGCTGCCGTGTAATTTTAATGCTCTGCGTATTCAATAGCTGTTTGACACCTGTTTATTGTGTCACCCCTTGCAAGAGTTGGGCCATGGGCAGGAGAGCAGACTGGTGGAGTGGTGGAAAATGATGTTAGGGTATATAAACCTTAGTGGCGCTAACCAGGCAAGCCCGCCTGGCGCAATGGTGGCGCGCCAGACTTCTACGTTGTTACGTAACGTTACCATGTAATGTAACGTAACCTAATTTTCGGGATCTGGAGGCTGCGGGTTCGAGTCCCGCGGTGGGTTTTGCTTTTTACTCTCAGTTTACAGCAGAAAATCATTTTTCTGATTTTATTGCATTTATTTCAGTATTCCAAAGTGCTGTGGTGCAAGTGGTAGCTGGGCTGGAGCTACTTGACATTAGGTCAGCTTTTGATTGAGGAATATGAGAAGTTGGGCCTTGGCAAATAGAAAGTCCAATGTCACATGCTGATTGTTGAGGATGGATAGAGGATCAGTGAGACAGTGATGGGAATGACTGTGCTTGAACTTGAGTGGTGAACAAGTTGTATGTGCCTTTGGAGTAACTGCTTGGTCTGAAAATTTGACCAACCACAAAACCCACCATAATGCAAAGCCTTAAATACCATTAAATAGAAGAAAATCACTGCTTTCCAGTGATATAGTTCATGACCTCTGAATAAATTCCTAAGGTGGAGAAAAGTGTGATTTACCTCTGGGGGATATTTGCCCCTGAAGATGCGCCACACACTCTAAGGGAATTCACCATGTATATGCAATTCTTCCATGCACAATCATTAGATATACACTCTAAGATACTATATACCAAGTATCAGCACGTTCCAATCCCTACAAGGTACTCAACCAGGGGAATTGGTGCTCCAGGGGGGCAATTCCAGCATTAAATGCAGTCTGGGGCCAGAATGAGAGAGATTGAGTTGAATCCAGTGAGTACATTCTACTCAGAGCACATTTTCACATATACCTTGACTAGTGCGCTTTGTGGCTTGTGCTGACAAATCATCCAGAACATTCCAGCACTTGCTAATGTGATATACAATTGCAAATAATGTACTGACTCATACTTGTAACATGTAACCTTCCATGAATATATAAACCTAAAGGCCAAGGCTTGGAACAACCAAGACTTGGCCTCCTGGTCACTTTACTTATTGCATACACATTCCACTGCCCAACTGCCTTTGTTGCAGTAGTCTGGGCTTCAGTCTAACACATTAAGGATGTCGGCCAGGTATTTCCCGGGTTTCCCGCTACCCAGGCCAGGAATTCGAACCCTGAGGGCCCTGCCCACGCCCACATGCGAGCATGCGAGAATCCCCCGGATTCTCGCAAATTCCCGCCCACTTGGAAGCATCCCGGGGCATTGCGGGCATTTTGTACCCAAATGTCACCACATCCACATGTGGCATAGCTCATTAAATGCGCATAAATCAGGGGGTACCGAATATGTATTTCACGTTCTGTAAATAAATTGTTAACACATATAAATACCGCAAATACTGTTCCAGGAAATACAAAATGCGTACGCAGGCCACGTATGGACCCCCCAGACCCAGCATAAATGCATATTATATATCCTATAAGATGTCCAAATATATCTACCAAGTTTCATTCAAATCCATTCATGGGAAGTGACTGAACTGATGCCTTATTGTCAAAATACCCCTATTCCCCCTTGTCGCAACCTCTTCTAAGGACGTTGCTAACGAGGAGAAACAACGATGACGAACGTATCGGGTGGCAAAGACGAACGAGAATACGAATGGGACTGCGACTTCGACGGCGGTAAGACAACTTAGGCAGAGTTGAATGACTTTGCAAGTGAATCCAAGAAGGCTGAGAATAGCCAGATAGAAAAGGGTGATTGACGAGTGTAGAGCAAGCTGGATGACCAGGCTTGCTCAGGCTCGAATATATAGACATAGGGCGTATAGCCCGGACAAAACAAGAGCGTACATCGGAGTCAGACTTGCACAGCATAAGGCATGTGGCAAGTCATACTGAACGAGGCAGCGTCTGATGAGCGCACAGCGCGAGTCAGACAAAAGAAACACAGCCAAGGCAGAAGTGACTCGGTCATGAGCCACGAGAAGACAAGCCACGAGAAAGAAGAAACGGGGTGGGTCATGACACCCCTCTACAATGCTGTTGCTCACCGTGTACACTCCTTCTGATACTGAAACTGTTCAGGATCCCTTCTAATATGTGTTATAAATGATCTATGAATTCTTCTCACCTTCTGAAGTCCTGCAAGTATGGGTAATCACTGCTGTTATTCACACAGGAGCAACTAACAGTGGGGACATGAGATTATGATCAATATTGTAAAAACTGCAGCCCCCTAGATATATACAGAATTCAATTGTGAGTAGAATGTACTCATTAGAATTCTCTCAATTGCACTCATTCATGCCCTAGACTGCATTTGAGGCTGATTTTCCCCCTTTGCAGCACTATTGCCCCCTGTTGAGTACCTTCCTGGCCTCAGATAAGGTTGATATTTTGTATGTAGCATCCTATAGCATCTTTACAACGATTGCACGCGGGGGAGCAGCATATACACAGTGGGATTACTTAGTGCATGTGGCGCATTTCCAGGGGGGAATATCCCCCAGCAGTATTTCCCACCTTTCACCCCTGTGGAAATTTATTATGGGAGTGATTTATACATGGTTGGAAAGCCCTGATTTTCCTTTATTTAATGGTATGCTTGAAGTGACATTGTGGTGGCATTTGTGGTTGGTCAGATTCATAGCCGAGTACTATAAACTGACCCGACAGAAAACGTGCACGCAGGAGCGAACCAATGGGCGGAAAATTATGAAATAAATTGCAGAAAATAGAGCGGCTCAGGTTGCATATGTCCCGAAATTCTGGCGGGCATCGGCGGGCATTTGGGCGCTTAACGGCGGGAATCCGCGGGATGCTCGCCGGGTTTCCCTGTGAATTTGACCATTCCCGCGCCCGCACCCGCTACCCGGAGCCGGGTTTTTCCGGGTTTTTCCGGGAGGGTTTCCCGGAATGCCCGGGGCCGGGTTACCCGGTCGACATCCTTATAACACATATACTCATACAGTTAACATCCTTTTTGAGTTGTCATTGATGAATTTGCAATTCCAATTTGGACAGTGATTATGTAACTTTTGAAGCACTTCATGGTTATATTTTCTGAAGTTGAGTTTTCCAAATATAGACTAATTGGTCCATTTTAGGTTTGCCCATTTGCAATTTGATCATACTTTTGAACCAGACTGCAGAGTTTTGTCCCCTGTTGACCAAAAGGGCTAAATGCTAGAAAATACCCCTGGGTGAAGGCTCAGGTGGGCTGACCTGGAGTGGGGGGAGGGCAGGAAGGTACTTGCATCTGCAAAACCCGCCAAACTCTGGGAGTGTTCCAGGAGCCTCCAGAGCCGCCAGAGTGAAGAATCATGCTCCCAGAGTGCTCTGACAGCTCTTGAGTTAGCTCAGGGTGTTATCAGTAATGTTATTCATGTAATGTAACCTTCAAACTCACCTTTTCTTGCATTGTATTACACTATTTTGAGTCCTTTAACATGAATTTTGCTGCTGGAGTCAAGCACATTATAGAGCAATTTCTAGCATTTAGGAGCTTTAGACTGAGAGGCAAAATGAGTTAGTGGTTAGGTGAGGAAATAGTATAATGCATGTAAGACTTGCATGATTACATGAGGATCTAAGCTTAAAAGGGCTACTCTGGCAGCTCTGGGAGCATGATTTTTCACTCTGGCAGCTCTGGAGGCTCCTGGAGCACTCCCAGAGTTTTGCGGGTTTTGCAGATGCTGGGCTGGAGAGGGGCTGAGGCACAAGGTGCATCAGGAGGAAATGTAGCCTTTGTAGAGGCTGAGAGAGCCCTGGAGCTGTCAGAGGCAAGCCGCTGATTTCCGACCCTCTCAGAGCTTTGGAGAGCACACAGCCACATTTTAGTTGATGTACTTCTCATGACCTGTAAAATAGCCATTACTTTGAGCAATAAACGGCATAAATATTTATATTTCTGCTAGTTTTTATAGTACAATTTTATTTTGAGTCTAAATACATTGGTGGATGGTTGGGAAAGAATGAGGGATCAGCTGCTGGTGGGCGATGAGCACAGCCACAGGTCATGTGACCCCTCCCCTTCAGCTTCCGACAAGTCACTCAGCATTGTTGAACAGACATATGCATTTCAGTGGCCTGCAGTCATCCCTGGGACAACTTTTCAAAATATTTACATTGGAACTAAAATGAGCTGAAAGTGCTGGCTGGCTAACATTTCAGGATATGGAGCGCATTTTTGACCTTTTTAGCTCCTAAGCTACAGTGTGGCTGTGCACTCTGCGAAGCTCTGAGAGCTTCGGAGAGCTTCGGAAATCAGCGGCTTGCCTCTGATAGCTCCGAGGCTCTCTCAGCCTCTACAAAGGCTACATTTTCTCCTGATGTGGCAGGTGGGTGCTTCCTTGATGGCCCCATCAGTTTGGAGTAATTAGCCTTGCCTAATCAGGGCATGACTTTAATGGGACTAATTGATGGATACCTGATGGATTTGACATTGTTTGACTAAGCATGTCACATGGAAATTTGCAATACCTGCAGCAAAAAATACCTGCAAATACCTGTGTGCAAGTAGCGCAAGTGGGAAGCACAGAAATGCATGGAATTCCCAGCAGAAAGTCTGCAGAATACCCACATTTAAGTGCTAATATTTCCGCCCAATACCCACGCATCGATCCCACATTTCTCCACATTTATTTACCTTTATTTTGTATAGATTGTGCAGAAACACTCCTCAGAGTCTGCAAGGCTCAATTTCTGAAGCTTGAGTGTCCACAAATCCCACCATATTCTCATGATATGCAGCTCATAAAATGCACACAATTCACAGCATTCAGAATATATAGGTCTTACTATCTATGTAAATCAAACAGGCTCTGTGAGGGGGGATTTACTCCTGGGAGGGGGAATACCCCTGAAAAGCGCCACACAGACTAGTGAAACTGACCACCAGAATGTTGCTCCCTTGTGCGCACTGGATGCGCTAGGGTGTAGATAGGCTGCTCAGCAAATTCTGGATTTGCTCCGGGGTTCTCCAGAGCGCTCCGGAGCAAAGCCACGTGCTCCCCAGCGCTCCGAAGGCTCAAGTTCTCAAATGAGCCTCCGGAGCACGTGCTCCCTGGTGCTCTGGAGGCTCATTTGAGAACCTGAGCCTTCGGAGCAAACTGTGGAATCACACGTTTTGCTGACGTGTATACCAACTTTCAGACACT